AACTCCTTCAGCAGAGAGCAGAAATGGAGCTGAAATCTTTAGGATTTTACCTCCATTTCTGCATCCTGCCGAAGGTGTTCGGCTCCCCTCAGTAGGCAACTCTTTCAGCCTGAGACAAGAGGGAGACCTGTTAGCAGGTGGCAGCAGCTTTCAACTTTCCCTGTTGGCTTTCGCACTGGCTATTTAGGGAAGCTAGCAAAGAAGATTGTAAATGGTGATCAGATGATCATTGGGCAAGCAGTCATATGTGCAAACAGGTTACCAAGCACCCAGCTTGCAATTACATGACTGCGAGGAATGGTGATGCAATGTTTAATGATGGCTTTCCAGGCAATCATAATTCCAGATTGTCATTAAATCAATGGCTATAAGTTGAGAACTACTTGCATATCTTCTCTTGAACCCACTCAAGATCCCACTTTCTCCTTGATCATAGATCATCAGCTTTTCAAGTCGAGTGTCCATCCATATTATACTCAAGGGTCCTGGATATCAGCACCATATCCCTACACCAACCATCAGCAGCAAAACTGAAAGCACTAGGCTCCAGGTGGTACCTCTGACAATAATTGGATCACTTTCAGATTTTATGTCCCTCTCTATGTAGGTTTTCTTTCATAGAAACCATAGAAAACTCTTAACCAATCTTATGCCAATTTAATTATTCTTATTCTTGTGATTTCTAAAGCACTTCCAGAATTCTAGCAGAAGTCTCCTTCCTTTAATGAAGAAGGGCAATAGAATTTGTTCTTCTAGAATACTGTATACTTGCTTTCTTTCTTCTCCAAAAAGCATAGCACACTCAGACATATAATGGGTCTTTGTGATTTTCAGCATTTCATGCAGTTCTTCTAATTCAGGAACATTTCAGCCCTTACCATTTTTCCACTCTTGTAAAAAGGATGTAGTTTACATTTATTAATTTGCAGGATATCTACTTTTCTAGCACCTTGCCATTCAGCTTTCTTCCACTTTATAGTAGAGGGTTCCATATATCACTTTTAAGTTTTGCCATTTGGCCTCTCCATGTTCTATTCTTCTACCTGTTGGAGAGTTATCATTTTCTTTCTTTATCTGGATGGCAGGCTTTTACTTTTGCCTTTCAGTATTATGTTTTCTTGTCAAATAGCAAGAAATAAGCAAGATTTGTGCCATCATCTTCCTTTTATTGCCATAGGCTACATCTACTCATATGTCAGATTTCCTCTTTAGTAAGAGTGAGATCGTAATCCAATTATTGAACCATATGGTTATTGTGACTTCAGTCTTTCATTCTGCCAGTCTTGGAATAGCTCCTCATAGATATAACACCCTTGTACTGTTTCACCAATGGCTTCATTTTTGGGTCCAACTTACATAAAAGAACTACTGTTCTAGTCACAAATTATAAGTGTTCTCACTGAAGATGTACACTTCATGCATCCCTCCCTGATGTAGGTCTTCACCACCAACACATCTTTGATTAGATAAAGATCCTACCTATTTATCCAACAAAATGAATTTTAATGTGGAGAAAAGCAAAACTTTATATTTAGGCAGGAAAAATCCAAGGAATAAGTACAGATTAGGTGAGACCTGGCTCAAAAACAGTAACTGTGAGAGGGACCTTGGAGTCCTAAAGGGTGATCACTTGAATATGAGTCAGCAGTATCCAGCAGCAGCCAAAAAAGCTAATACAATCCTGGGTTGTATAAACAGGCATAGAATCAAGATCACATGAAGCAGGGGTGAAATTCAAAAATTTTCCCTACCAGTTCTGTAGGCGTGGCTTGGTGGACGTGGCTTGGTGGTCATGTGACTGGGTGGGTGTGGCTTGGTGGTCATGTGACTGGGTGGGTGGGCATGGTCAACTCAATGTCACTCCAACCCAGTCACATTTTTATTTATTTATTTATTTATTTATTTATTTATTTATTATTCAAACTTCTATACCGCCCTTCTCCTTTCGGACTCAGGGCGGTAAACAGCCAAAATAAAAACATTTATACATAACATTACAGTTAAAAATAAATTTAAAATAATTAAATAAATTTGGCCCGTAATTTAAAACTTGTCAATTTAAAATACGTATCAAATTTTAAAACCTACCATAAAATCAAGACAGACCGGCTAACTGAAAAAAGTAAGTTTTTAGGGCCCGACGAAAAGTCCGGAGGTCGGAGATCACTCGTATCTCTGGGGGTAGATTGTTCCAAAGGGTAGGTGCCACCACAGAGAAGGCTCTCCTCCTGGGGGTCACCAGCCGGCACTGTCTGGCCGACGGCACCCTGAGGAGGCCCTCTCTGTGGGAGCGAACCAGCCGGTGGGAGGCTATTGGTGGCAGAAGGCGGCCCCGTAAGTACCCTGGCCCTAAGCCATGGAGCGCTTTAAAGGTGATCACCAACACCTTGAAGCGCACCTGGAAGTCCACTGGAAACCAATGCAGCTCGCGCAGGAGAGGAGTCACATGGGAGCGCCCCGTCACTCCCATAATCCCCCACGCGGCCGCATTCTGCACCAGTTGGAGCCTCCGAGTGTACCCCAAGGGAAGCCCCATGTAGAGAGTGTTACAATAGTCCAGACGAGAGGTGATGAGTGCTTGAGTGACCGTGCGTAGGGAGTCCCGGTCCAGAAAGTGGCGCAACTGGCGTATCAGGTGAACCTGATAAAAAACCCCACCGAATTACATGACCCCACCCAATTATACCTGCCCAGGTTTTGTGGCTCCTGGTGTTTTCTGTGGGAAATGGGTCATGTGACTGGGTGGGCGTGGGCCAACTTGATTGGTCTCACCCTTAGGAAATTTCTCCTTAGTCCAACTCACAATAAAATAGCACAATAAAATAGCGCTATTTATATATTTAGAATATATAAATATTTAGAATAGAATCTGACAAATAAATAAATTTATAATTTATAATTTATAAATTTGAGGGTCGGTGCGACCACATATTCTGTGGTCACACCGACCCTCTGGAATGGGTTGCCCACTGGGCTCCGGACGGCCCCTCTGCACCTTCTGCACTGACCTAAAGACATGGCTCTTTCAGCAACTTCCCTGATCTGTCGTGGATTTTAACTTGGGGATTTGGGGATTTTAATTGGTTTTTAATATTATTTAATTTTTATCTATTGTTGGGTTGTTTTATTGTTGTGAGCCGCCCCGAGTCCTAAATCTGACAAATAAATAAATAAATAAATAAATAAATAAATAAATAAATAAATAAATAAATATTCTAAACATTTAGAATAGAATATTTTAAATATTAGGCTGAATAGAATAGAATAGAATAGAATAGAATAGAATAGAATAGAATAGAATAGAATAGAATAGAATAGAATAGAATAGAATAGAATAGAATAGAACAGAATAGAATAGAATAACAAAGTTGGAAAGGACCTTGGAGGTCTTCTAGTCCAACCCCCTGCTTAGGCAGGAAACCCTACACCACTTCAGACAAATGATTATCCAATCTCTTCTTTAAAACTTCCAGTGTTGGAGCATTTACAACTTCTGGAGGCAACTTGTTCCACTGATTAATTGTTCTGTCAGGAAATTTGAGGGGCTCCTACAAAAATGAGGGAGTCAATCTATTTTCCAAAGCACCAAAAGGCACAACAAGAAACAATGGATGGAAACTAACCAAAGAGAGAAGCAACCTAGGACTAAGGAGAAATTTCCTAAGGGTGAGACCAATCAACCAATGGAATAGCTTGGCTTCAGAAGTTGTGGGTGCTCCATCACTAGAGGCTTTCAAAAAGAGTGAGGGAAGTACACTCCAAAAGGACAGGAACCACTAAAACAATGCAGAAAACTTAAAACAGCCATTCCCTTTTTTTTAAAAAAAAGTCAACCCCAAAGCAAATGCAGTAGCTGAGAGGGAAACTAAGAGCAGCTGCTCAGGCTAATTGAAAGCATGGGTGTGCTGCCAAAACCCATTAACCCTTCCAAATCTATTATTCTATGTTCTCTGTGTTCTAAATTGCTTCACAGCAGAAGCAATACAGTTGGCTGGACCACACATGCATTAAATTCACGGCCTGTATGATCAAGCTGCATCATTGTCCTCTCCTGTATCTTTTCTCCCAGGAAGAAACAAGAAGTAGCCAACATTGCAGCAGCTATAAAAGGTCTTGGGAAACTCCAGGGAGTATCAGCTGATCACAGAAGTGTTACTTAATACTCTTTATAATGAAAATGTTTGTAATCTTGTCCTTCTTCCTGAAGGGGAGAGCTTAATCCCATCCCTAGATGGGTGATTGATGGGTTTTCCTGCCCTAATCCTGTCAGTTTCTGTTGTTTATTGACTTGATTCAGCATGTATCGGCTGCATTCCAGCTGCAACTGTTAAGTGGAGCTATTAACTGAAGGGGGAGAGAGAGAGAGAGAGAGAGAGAGAGAGAAAACCTCTCTTGCACTTTATTTTTAACCAGTTCTCCAAACTGCGTAAGCAATTTACTAATGGTTCAGGCGAACCGGTGAGAACAGCTGAATTTCATCTGTGACGTGTAGTATTAGTGCCACTTTATAAAACCCTAATAAGACCACACCTGAAATACTACAACCAATTTTGGTCACCATACCACAAAAAAGATGTTGAGACCTTGGAAAAAGTTCAGAGAAGAGTAACTAAGATGATCAAAGGCCTGGAGACTAAACCATATGAAGAATGGCTGCAGGTTTTGGGTCTGGCTAGTCTAAAGAAAAGAAGATTTAGGGATGATATCAGTGGTGGGATTCACATAATTTAACAACCAGTTTGCCCAAGGCCAGGTTGACTGTCGTGGGAGGTGTGGCCCATTCCCGTCCTCCAGCTCCACCACACATGCAGGACAAATCTTCCATGATGGCCAACCTGACCCTGAGTGAACCGGTTGTTAAATTTCCACCCTTTGCCAAAAGGTTGTTTCTGAGGGCGGTTGTCTGTAAGTTGGTCTCGCGGCTGTTTCAGCCTTCTGGACGTGGCTCCTTTAAGAGGTGATGTTTTCAAGGAATGAGGAGGGTGGGTTACCATAGAGACAAGGAGTTGATGCTCCCAAGAGCTCATACGGGAAGGTGAAGAATTGGGGGGAAGTGGATGGAGGGATTCCCCCCTCCCCATGGAGCTGCGTGCAGGGGGTATTGGTAAGTCTGCAAGCAAAAGTGAGAGGGTGAGGAATTAAGTTGGCAGCACAATTGAAACTGGGCCCATTGTAGGGGAGACTGCAGGGTTAGTTTGGCCAGGCAAATTATTATCCCACCCCCTGGGCTATCAAAGTGGATCCTGGGCGCTGTGCTGTAATGGAGAAATGAACAATGGAGCGGCCGGCATGAGGGAAGGAGGAGGAGCAGGGAGAAGAAAGAGGGAAAGTGGCCTTCTCCTTCCCTCATGCCGGCCACTCCGTTGTTCATTTCTCCATTGCAGCACAGTGCAGCGCCCAGGATCCACTTTGATAGTGGGGGGAGGGGTAATTTAACAACTGGTTCATCCGAAGCAGTGCAAACTGACTGAATCCCACCGCTGGGTGGGATGATAGCAGTATTTCAGTATTTGAGAGGCTGCCACAAAGAAGAGGGTGTCAAATTATTCTTCAAAGCACCAGAGGGCAGGACAATAAATAATGGTTGGAAACTAATCAAAGAGAGAAGCAACCTGGAATTAAGGAGAAACTTCCTAACAGTGAGGACAATTAACCAGTGGAACAGCTTGCCTTCAGAAATCATGGGTGCTCCATCAATGGAGGTTTTTAGAAGAGACTGGACAGTCACTTGTCTGAGATTGTATAGGTTCTCCTGCTTGAGCAGGGGGCTGGACTAGACCTCTAAATTCCCTTCAAATTCTATTCTATTCTATTCTATTCTGTTCTGTTCTGTTCTGTTCTGCTCTGCTCTGCTCTGCTCTGCTCTGCTCTACTCTACTCTACTCTACTCTACTCTACTCTATTCTATTCTATTCTATTCTATTCTATTCTATTCTATTCTACTCTACTCTACTCTATTCTATTCTATTTATATCTGAAGCACTTGATCTATATTAGAGACCCATTGGCCTATCAATGAATTCACATTTATGGTTATCATCTGAGATTTTTTTTATCATTATCTTCAAAGCTGAACTGTCTTTAACACCATTATATTTATCTGGTACATAGCAGTGGTGGGTTGCCCCCAGTTCGCACCGGTTCTATAGAACTGGTAGTAAAACTGGCGGGAAACTCTGCCCACTGAACCTGATGTCATGAAAATGCTTTTGCGCTTGCGCAGAAGAGCGTGCACACGAGTGGCCCCATTGCGAACCAGTAGTAAAGGTAAGTAGAAACCACCCCTGGTACATAGACAAACAATTTGGAATCAGATTTGTGTACACCACTGTGTACACCTTGCATTGCCGATATGGCACTAATGTGCTCTTACGTTCCACATTTATCCTGGCAATCTATAGGTCTGGAAATGACATTTCCTTGTTCACCAGCTCAAGTGCACCCTCAGCTCTGGCTCTTATCAAACTGCACTGGTTTATGTCAGGGTCAGTCTTTTTACATATGAAGCCAGCTGTCAAGTTTCTGCAGCAGGGGCAGGATAAATCCCCAGTCTTCAGATAATGCATTCCTGTTCTCTTGAAACTGACCTTTACTAAACTATTTTCCCACCAATTCCTCTTCAGCCCTTTAGGGGTTCATAGTTGGCCTCAACAACATTGATTCACTCTTACATTGTGTTTCTCACCAAAATCATCTTTATCTCCCAAACCATCCTGACTATTTTATCTAACAAAGACTGGTGGACCAGTGAAATTTTACTTTTCTATACTTTACAGCTTAAAAGGATCTGATGCCCTTGCATAGAAATATTCTGATAGCTTTTTCACAAAAAAATACAGTTTGATTCTCCGCAATATCACGTTCATCATACTTTGGTCTTCCTTTCGTTTATAAAACAGCATGGCTTCCTGTTTCCTTTTGTACAAGTGTACCTTGCAGTCATTTCCTCCTTTTCTGTATGGAATCTCCTTTCCTTTGTTCCCAATGATAAAGTATCCCCATATAGGTTCCATCTTGGAATCTTTCCCTCTAAATGTTTAGGTTAGTATCATTTGAGATCATGGTTGCAGCCCCCATGGGCTGCCAAGAAAAACAGAATTGCTGGCAACTCTGACATTGACTAAATGAATAGTAGAATTTTAAGTCTTGTGTAAAGATGCTCCCTTATTTATTTTTCATGGGGATGAAGTACTCCTTTGTCCAGGTATCTCCACTCTGCCAAATATATCTAGGCATTCTATCGGAATCAGGACATTATATTGCTCCTCTTTTCTTTTCCCTCTATTCCTTGACACCAACAGAAATATTACTTCTTTTTGATATCCCAAAGGTGCTTTTTCAGGAGGCAACTGGATTTTTTTGTTTTTTCTTTGAAGATAGAGAGATAGATAGATAAACCTCCAAGTGTGTCAACGACCCTCTAGAACAGTGATGGCTAACCTTTTTGCCCTTGTGTGCCAAAAGTGGGGGGGAGTGTGGGGGGTCGCGGGTGTGGGTGTGTGTGCCCACATCCATAATTCAATGTGCTCCACCCTCTCGTGCATGCGCACATGACCCCCCCACACTTCCCCCTTCTTTTGGCATGCAATGGCACGGTGGGCCGGTAGGCCCGTTTTTCTCCCTCCCTAGGCTCCAGAGGTTTCTAGGAGCCTGGGGAGGGCAAAAACAGCCTTCCCCATTCCCCCGGAGGCCTTCTGGAGTCTGAAAACAGCCAGTTTCCCAACTTCCGGAGGGACCAGAAGGCCTGAAAATCAGTTGGCTGGCGCACGCATACGTGCTGGAGCTGAGCTAGGGCAACACTCACATGCCCACCAATATGGCTCCACGTGCCACCTGTGGCACCCGTGCCATAGGTTCGCCATCACGGCTCTAGAAGGATGGAAATTACCAGCCGTCTGCATGGAATATAAATCCTTCCATTCCCCACTATCCTGTCAGAGCTGAAGAAGCTTCTTGGATGAGAAGCGAAATGTCGTCAAAGAAAAAAACAAGAAAGTCCAGTTGTCTCCCGAAAAAGCACCTTTGGGACAACCATGACCTGGACGACTGAGAATCTCTACAGACTTTATTTTTGATATCTAAACAAAGTTAGTATTAATACATCCAAAAGAATTTATATTTCCCTCTGCACAAGAATGAAGCTGATATTGCATAAAATAGCACAAATGTCATTCATTATATAGGAAATATATTATGGAAATTCCTGGATGTAATAAATAACTAGAACTGTTTGTCCTCCTCTTCTCCCATCAGCAGTAGAAAACAAGGTGGATAAGTTAGCAGTTCAGTTGTTAGGCATATCAAGATTTATCTCTCAGTTGTTTGTATTATCTGTTAAGGTATGACCAATGAAATGAATCCAATTAGCAAATAAATTTTTAGCCCAGGAGCCAATAATCTGAAATAGATAAAAGGGGGAGACAATTGTCAAGCAGGGCAATCAACTAAACATATAGTGTCGTTTTGCTGCGTATAGACATGCCCTCTGCCCTGCTCAAACACCCAAGCATACAAGTGCTGATTCATGCAGTTGCTTGGTGCCTCCTTCTTACAAAGAGGGGGGGGAGGCAACTATAATTTATTTTTGCCAGGGTACACTTTTATGCATGATTACTTTAATGATAATGTGTCTGTTGGCTAGTAGGATGGATCCATCTGGGCCTGCAGTGTAAAGTTACTGCATGTATTTAATGGAAAGACTCAAATCAGTTATAGATGTCTTCACATTTACATTAAGGTAAAATTCACCAAACTGTATAGCTCTGAGAGGGAAGGCAGATTCACAGTGACATTCTCATTCCTTTCAGACTATCTTTGAGCTTGTTTGTATGCATTACCATGAAGCACAGCTTTGCAGAGACCACCTGTGGAGGAATGATGAACTCTGCAGATAATGCTTAATCTCAAATGCCGTTTTAACCCAATTGAAGCATGCACGGAATTTTGAACATCTTATTTCTGCTAAGAGTATTCTTTGTGCTGCTATATTAAAAGCATTTGTAGCTTCAAACAAATTCCTGACAACTTTAATAGAAGGTAAAAGAGCCAAAATGAAAATGAGGAAAAAATGAAGATTAAATGATAAAACCACAAAATCAAATCCTAACCCTGCTCCTAATGCATATTGGGACTGAAATCCTGGGGCAGTGGTTGGGAAACCTACTTTACACTGAATTAACTTGCGTTTGGGCATACTGTACAGAAGATACTGCGACTTGTGTGCCAGCACTGTTGGTCCCAGGTCAATACTGGCAGAGACACCCCACAATAGCTTACTAAACAAACCTGGAAGAATCTTGTCATGCATACCACACTTACACTCTTGAACATGTAAATAGGCTGAAGAGGGAACAAATGCTACTTAACATTGGGAGAATCTAGACTGGTTCTCTGATGATTTGTGTTCACTTCCTCTTCACTTTCAAAGGAAAGTGAGGAGGGGAGCTAAGTCCTAGGAAGGGCCACTGCAAGGATTGCCAGAACCTTGAGAGAAATGGGAGGAGGGGTTTGGTTTAGGATCAGCTAAATTGAAATTTCCTTATATCTGTCCTAGAACGTCTACAATCAGGATTTAGAACACTGCTTTCTCCAGTTGTTTGAATTCCTATTACCTGATTTCCTATTATCTTTACAGCCTAGCTTATGGATAACCTGTTCCATAAATGAAACACTATTTTGTTAATCTTAGCATGTCTTAATTATTGCTAATATGTGTAAAACTTGTGCTTCCAGTTGTTTCTCTGCTTTTAAAAATTATTTTGAGTGCTTTATGTAGACTATTTAATTAAATTATCATACTCATTTCCCCTTCATCATCAGTTTGTTTAAAATATATTGGAAAAACTCTTTGGGAGACTTAGGGACCTCATTGATGATTAGTCAACTAGTGCTAGGTGAAAAGCTAACACGAAGAAAACAAAGCTTCCCTCTGGCAAATTTAAAACATAATCCAGAACATAATAAATATCCTTCTACAGAAGTGTCAATACTAAAATTTAATTATTACTTATGTATTTATTCCACATATAATCCTGAATAAAATCTATCAGTACATGGGTACAAGATCCAAAAACTAGAATCCAGGAATTCCATAGAGATCTAGACAAATGTATTCTAGACTTATACGAACATGAAAGAAATCGGGAAAAGTTCAAGACCTTTTTCTCACTTTCTTTTAACCATGGTATAAAGATGCCGAGTTGCTACTATTTTGCTTTGTTTTGTTTTGTTATATCCTCATGACATGGCCTTTGTCTCTAGCCCATACCTTAAAGCAGGGGTGAAATCCAGCACGTTCTGACAGGTTCTGGAGAACCAGTAGCGGACATTTTGACCAGTTCGGAGAACTGGCAGCGGAAATTTTGAGTAGTTCAGAGAACCAACAAATATCACCTCTGGCTGGCCCCAGAGTGGGGTGGGAATGGAGATTTTGCAATATCCTTCCCCCAGGAGTGGGGAGGGAATGGGATTTTGCAGTATCCTTCCCCTGCCATGCCCACCAAGCCACGCCCACCAAGCCACACCACACCACACCCACCAAGCCATGCCCACAGAACTGGTAGTAAAAAAATTCAGATTTCACCACTGCCTTAAAGTCATCTTTAGTTGTTCTAGAACTGTTTTCCCTCTTTCCCTAACACGTTTTTTTGCCATGGATGTGTATTACTAATCATTTAATTACTGGTACAGTGGAGTACAGGGATCTCTGCAGCTCCTTCAGGCTGCTGCGAGTCCACCCCTTCCCCTCCAGTTACTGGATGCTCCTCTCCATTCAGCCTTGGCCTCATCTGCAGGCCAGATCTGATATCAAGCTTCTATAGAGGCAACTGTTCATTCAACTGGCACTTTCCAGAGTGCTGATCAAACAAAGTCCTGTATCGCAGAGTTCCCCAACCTTTTTGGGTTGGCAACCCAGATGGGGAAGGGGCAGGTGCCTTTACACATGCATGCACAGGAGCGAACGGGGCTGCAAGTGCATGCATGATGCTTTCAGCAATGGTAGCACCCATGAGGTACTTGTGGCAACAGTAGCGGGCTTGCACGGGGCTTGTGGCAATGCTGTTCTGCCCCAGGTACGGACCCCAAAGAACGCAGCACACACAAAATCTATACGAAGCTTATTTTATTCAAATAACTCAGTCTTTATCAAACAAAGGCTGTTAATAAACTTTCTTAACAGCCTACAAGAATCCTAAGATAAGATAATCACAGTCTTACTAGGGTTGGCAGAAAGCCCAGAAGCAATTTTGCAGAGAATCCAGATGCGAAGGAGACTGAACTAAAGTTGTTCCCTACAGCTTGCTGCAATCAGCGTTCCTCTTTAAATAGGCTAAGGGAGTGGCCAATTAGCCCCAAGCCTTACTCTCCAGGAGACCTTCTCCTGAGGAGCCACTCCTGCCTTTTGGCAGCTCTGCGCACCCGTGCATTGAGAAGAGGCTCCTCCTCTTCATCCTCTTCACTTAAGGGAGCTTCTGGAGGTTCTGAAGGCCCTGGCTGAATCCCCACCTGTGGCACATCTTATCCAGCCTCATTGTCCGACTCGAGTGCCAGCTGCACAGGCTGCTGGCACAGCACCACACCAGCCTCCTCATTGTCAGAATCAGCTACAATCTGCACAGGCCGCTGATGGGCCACAACACAAGCTCGCACAGCGCTCATGGTGATGCTAGTGCAAGTGGGGGGCATGCATGTGCACACACTCGCACACACTGGCCAGCCACTCACACAGCCCGGTGGCCAGTAGGCCGTGTCCTGGTAGTGGGCCGTGGCCCACTGGTTGGGAACCCCTTCTGTATGGCATTCTTATACATATGCATTTTCTGGTCTTTTGACATAATACCAGACATGACACACACACACACATTTATGACTCTTTTGGAAGAGTGTTAAGTCAGAGCTGCACAAAGAGCAAATTTAAACAGGTCAAGAGGACCAGGTTTTACCACCTGTGTTCCTAATTCTGCCGCAACTAGGTGTGTTAGAGTTTTTCCATTACTTCAGCGATCTGTGGGAAAATTATTCTTCCAGAGGCTTCGATCAACAAAAGGCTGACCTTCTGGTGTGGAATAAAGGTGTGGAAGGCAGGACATTTCTTGTGTATGCTACAGACAAATATAGCAAATGCATAGGTTGTTCTGATTCCTCATATCTTTGTTTGAGATGGCCTCCCAGATAAAAATAGATATTTGCAGGCAATTTAGTGGGACTAAGATTCTTAGTAATATTATATTGCATGGAATGAGCAGAGGTTGAACCACAAGTCAATTGTTTGCTTAAGCCAGCAAGTGAGTTAAAAGGCATCCCGTTTAGATCCAGACTTTGCTTGGGTGGTGAAGAAATCATTAAAACCACCTAGTATATTTTATTACACTACTATTTTATGCTGATACTTCCTGTGAACTGCTTATCCCATCCCTAATTAAATATCCTAGTCACTCTGATCAGTTTTATTTATTTATTTTTAACTTTTAGATTCAATAATTTCATTTCCTTAAGTGTGGCTACATTTTGTCATGTAATAAGTAAGATGTGCGGCAGTTTAATTGATCTGTTTATCTAATTGGTTAATCAATATCAGTTTTATGTATGCAAGGTGTTTTATGGACTAGTCATTGACCATAACAAGGTTTCTACTTCTTCACTGTTGAGTTCACAAGAGGCAAGATGTTTACAAGGAAATGTAATCAGGATAAATACCTTTTGTCTTTTGAGTTCTCCTTTAAATATTCCACCACTACCTATCCTCTCCTATGTCACATATCAAATAAACTTTAAACCATATTACTGAAATGAATTGCAATATTAAATATTAATTTATAATTTGAAAGTGAGTCATTATTTCTTTACAACTTCTACTTGTGAAAGATATCATGATCTGGGATTTTACAGCTGTACCTCTGCTCATTTGATCATTTCTCTTGTGTCACAATGAGACTTTTGCTTCCATGTCAAGGGCTGTTATAAAGGAAAAATGAAAGGAAGAATGTGCCACTGCCGTCATTAATTATTCAAGGCATGATGATAATTGCCTGTCTGCCTGACTGTAGGGCTGAATCTTGTAACTGATAGTATCAACATATACAGCACTGCAGTACTTCATTCAAATGGGGCACTTTTTTTTTTCTGCCTGAAAAGAGAATATCACAAAAATGGAAAACAGTTATTCAAATAATAGGAATCATTAAGTCCCAAAATGAAAACTGATGAAAACTTACTGAACATCACAAGATACAGTTCAAATAAATAAAAGCGCTACCGATAGCTTTTAATCTACATCACTTTCTTCTATTGCTTGAATCAGAGTCCACCTTAAATATTATTGGCTGGGAAGTTACTGTGGAAGAGACTCTCAACACAGTGGCCTGCTTGTGGGTTTGCTTCATGTGTAACATCAGAAGAGGGGTGGGCAGTGCTTTGGCCTGATTATTATTATTATTATTATTATTATTATTATTATTATTATTATTATTATTATTTCTTCTGAACCATTTCTCAAAATCAGTAATTGCAAATTATAACAATTCAGAAAAAATATTCTGAATTTTTAAAATATGTGGTGATAATATTCAAGTTTGTACCTTGTAATACATCCAGCACAAGTGAAATCAAATCCCTCATGCTTCTTTAATTACCTAAATGTTTGCTTTACAGCTACACCATCATCTCTTTATAATAATGAAATAAATATTTGTTCTGCAGGAAACTGATTAACTAGCACTAGACACTTAATCCTTAATTTGGATTCTTGCACTGAGCAGGAAATTGAACTTAGTGGCTAAATGGTTTTTTCCAATCTATGATTCTATGACACTATATTATACCAGGAAAAAACAAGTAAGAGGTGCTAGAAAACAGAATGATCTTTCAATTATCATTCCAATTGGAAGTGGAAGACATATCAGTAATAATGCCATGATATTCAATAATATGTACTAAACGTTCAGGAATCTAACAGCTCTGTACGATCAGGCCATATGTCCACCTAGTCCAGCATTTTGTGACCTAGTGTGGCCAA